TGTGAAAAATACATGTTAACTATGTTTGTGAACTCGTGTGCCAATTGATGGTTTTCAGTCAGTGTTAGTGAGGTTGAAGCACGTTTGCGCTTTTCAAGAGCATCAGCAGTCGCGTGTGTTGATGATGGACTAATCAGCAAGGTACTGGATAACATGCATTTTTCCGCGATTGTCCATTAAGTTTGTGTTACAGTAGTTCTGGCTGTTTTTATCCCTTTTGTTTTCTCTGGTTGTGTTGTATGTAGCATCATGAGGATGTGGTAATTCCCTTTGCATGCAAATTTTGTAGAAGATTTTGGTCATCAGAACTTGCTGGCAGTTAACTTCTTTGAATCCTTTGGTTAATCTATAGTGTACTATAGTTTCTGAGTAAAGATGAGATTGGTTATCATGTACTTGTGATGCTAATTGCCATGAACGATCTATAAAATGTTTCCCTTTCTGTTTTGAGCTGTCTTTTCATGTTGTAATTATCATTCTTCTTCCACTGCAGGAAGAGTTTCTCTTGGCGATTTTCAACAATAAAAGAAAGGACAATCTCTTTGCTGGTCGAGTATGATAACATCCTTTAGCATGCTTAGAAACATTGCTGCAATAGTTATGGTTGCTGCTGGCATGTATATGCCTATGGACAGATTCAAATGCACTCTTTGAATCATTGATATATAGTTCTACTAGTTAATGGAGAAATATGCGATTTCGTGATGTGCCTCTGAAGTAGACCCCAACAATATCTAATCCTACCTCAAGCCTGTAAAATAATTATGAAACCAACTAGCATTTGGCTGACTGGCTCCATTAGGTGTTGAATTAAGATATGCAGGTTATTATTCATTTGCACTTGTGAATGGAAAAATATAGCCTCTTTTCTCATTCCGAAGTGAAATCTATAATTAGGTGCTCATGAATTTCTTCATTTACATATATCTGGCTAATTGCTGATCCTTATTCTGTTTTGATAAAGTGTCACGCAGCTTCTTGTATCTCCATGTATTTGCCTTTTATTAGTTGGATCTATATTGATATCATACTCGTTCTGAATGCAGATCTTGATATGTTGAGGTTAAGAATAAGGGAGCCATTGATTTTGGCGATTTTGTTAGATCACTCAGTGTCTTCCACCCTAAAGCATCACAAGAAGACAAGATAGACTGTAAGTTGAAGATCAAGTCCTTAAATATAGATTTGTGGATCATCCTCAATCAAATGTTGTGATTTGGATGTACTGATAGGCAATGTTTGGGATTTTCTTGCAGTTTCATTTAGGCTTTATGATATGCAGAATACTGGTTTTATTGAGCGCCAAGAGGTAAGATCAAAATATATTTTTTGTATGCAATGACATTCTTAGTCTCTAGATTGATATTGACAGTCACCAGTTCATTCGAGTGTAACTATTTTTCTATACATGTGCCTACTAATCTCACGAAACATCTTCATTTTAATTGATGATTTGCGCCAGGTCAAGCAAATGTTAATTGCTCTTCTTTCAGAATCTGAAATGAAGTTGGCCGATGATGCATTAGAAAAAATACTTGATAAGGTGAGCTGTCTTTGTTCAAATCCTAGATAATACTCTTCCAGTCTTTAATATAGGACCTAATTGTTGAATTGGTTTTGGTCCTAAATATAAGACTATTTATCATATTTATTAATTTTTTGTAAATTACCTATATAGATACTCTCTCAACCATAATCAAGCAGAAAAGAGAGGGAGGATATTAAGGAAGATGATTATAGTGTTTTAAAAAAAACATGTCATAGTTTTTATAATTAACTAACTTACCTAACTTTCTTAATCTAATCAAATTAGTTAAGTAGATCTTATACTAAGGACCAAAAGAGTATAAAATACAGATATTAGCAGTCAAAGACTTCTAAACTAATATTCTGAGAAGTCTAGGTTACTGATGTCATGATAAGAAATACAAGGCCAAATTGCTGCAGACTTATTTAGCTTCCTGTAGAAGACATCACAAAAGTAAAAGTTTAAACCTGATATTCTGTTCTTGTGGCCAGACTTTCTTGGATGCTGATACAAATCAAGATGGGAAAATAGACAAGTCCGAGTGGGAAAACTTGGTTGCCAAGAATCCATCGCTACTAAAAGTCATGACCCTACCCTACCTGAGGTAAGCCTATGTCTATGTGTAACACTGTTTATACGGTAAATTATTCGAACAACTTTCGGTTTAGCTCAGATCACGTAATTGTGAAATCAATGCAGGGACATAACAACCACCTTCCCAAGCTTTGTTTTTAATTCCAAGGTGGACGAAATCACAAAGTGAGAAGTTATCTATTTAGTTTTTGCAGTTAGGAGCTATAGGTGTAGTTTTGTTTCCCGCGAGAAATTTAAGGTCACTGCATATATGGTCTAGTGATAAATATGTAAAGTATTATTCAGAGGAGTTCCATTGAAATCCCTCTTCCGTCGTGTGCCGGATTTATTTTGAAGAGGGATAAAGTATTTTGCCTTGCCTCGTTTATTGTGTTTGTATAGTTTGGGGTAACTGGCTAATTGATGTTTCCTATAGGAAAAATTGCTAACCATTTTCAAAGAGTGCATAAATAAGAATAGAGGCGTACTTTACTTTGTCCTGAAATTAAATGCAAGTTTTCTTGTGATTATAATGAAATTTGATGTCTCTGGAATGAGATATTTGCAAATCTCTCTTTATATTAGAGGAAATACAAAAAAAAAAAAATGAAGTGGATAAAACAAGTGAAATTAACTTCGGATGAATTCACTCAGTGTTATAATTCTAAACTTAATGTATGACTTAATTGAAAAGTTAATGTTAGTACTACATATAAGATTTATTTGACATATTTATCAATTTTTCTAAATTAACTATATTAATATTCTTTCAATAATAATTAAGCAGAAGAAGAAGAGAGAATTAAGAAAGACGCTTAAAGTGTTTTGGAAAAAACATTACATATCAGTTAATTTAACGAGCACTTCTAATCTATTCAAATTAATTAATTATGTTTTATAGAAGGGATATTATTTTCTCTATAGCTGAGCAGATATACCTTGCCTTCAAAAGAAAAGCCGGTCAAACCGGAAACATGTTTTTTTAATTAAAAAACATGTTTTTCAAAGACTAAGCTGATATTAAAAACATCTTTCAATTATTATTAATATAATAATCCACAATCAATGTATCAATTTATCAATCAGGATTAAAATTATATACAATGGCTTATGGCATGCATTGGCCTCACCAAACTCTCGATTACAAAATGAGGAAATATTTTTACTTGTTCACTGCTTTTATATTTTAATAGAAAGTTAATTATGGTTTTTCTTTTACAGTAATAAACTGCACACCTGATAACTTCGTGGGATCGGCTTCTCTCCACTAAATTTACTTTTACTGCCCGTCTGCCTTATCCAAATACTCCTCCGGTCCTTATTATAAAACCCCATTTGACTTTTTATTTGGTCCTAATTATAAGACCCCAATCCATTTTGTCTCTTATATTTATGCATTTTTTTCCAAGATAATCCTTCTAATAATGATAGTTTTAGCCAATATACTTAATTAGCAAGAACATTTTAGGAATGACAACACTTATTTATTATAAATAACCAACTTAACTTACTTCCTTAATCTCCTCAAATAAGTCAATTAGGTCTTATAATTAGGACCGGAGGAGTATATATTTTTTATTTTTTATTTTTTATTTTCAAAATATTTTTTAAAAGAATAATTTTATAAAATTGTTTTGAGAACATATACACAAAAAATAGAAATAAATAAGCCCCAAGTGACTAAGTTTCTCAAAATAATTGGTAAAGGCAAGAAAATAATTTTTTGCTTGAAGAGAATTAGAGAAGAGCAATATCAATAAAGTTCCAATTAACTTTGTATCATTTCACTTAGTTTTAATAAAATTTGTCTTATTATAAAATAAAAAGAAGGGCAATATTAATTAGTGAGGTAGCGTGAAATAGGAATATTATTTACTCAAATATTTAATAAGCTAAAGAATATTTAAATTTATTTTTATATTTAATGATTGATAGATATTGACAGAAAAAACAACTTGATTTTATCATAAAAACATATTTTCAGCAAGTGGAAATATAAGCTTGGTCGAGTCGCACGTGACCGGTACAAATAATCCCTTGGCCGAAGAAGCAAAATAAAATCCCTAAAATAGTCCCCATTGATTTCAAGTTTTCAACGCCTTCCGCGTTCCGTCTACGAGAGTCAACACCAAACGCCGTCGTCTAACTCAGCGGGGACAGGCGGTAATTGGCAAGGTAGTGGAGAGAAACCCATCCGGTAGTTTGCAGCCTTCTACTTCATTGCCGTGGTTCTTTGGTTCATGTTGTTGTTTTGTTCCTTTTGGCTTTGCCATCGACCATCGTCCCCCGAAGAAAATGGCTTGTGTGAAAACCCGAGGCCGAGACGCAGAGCAGCGGTATCGGAATGGGCGGCCGATTTAATTTGAGCGCAACTCTCTGTGACGTCCATCAATGGCAAAGCTCTGAAGTACGAAACTGTCACTGGGCTGGTTCGACCTTCGTAGTCTTCCCTCCTTCAGCATTGGAAACGGCGAAAGCACGTGGAAATCAGAGGCTAAGCAAGGATTTCTCTAGTTCAATCCGTCACGCGGTAAGCTCTCCGAGCGAAATTTTTTTGGTTCAACTGAAAGTGGTGTTTTTTTTTTTTTTTTTAACACACTGTGTAGCCGTATCTTACCATAACGAAGCCAATAGTAGTCGTATTCCCTCAATCTCCGGGCGCATTCGAGACAGAAAATTGGGGGATTTTTGCACGAGTCGGTGTTTTTGGTGATTGATCACGGAACATATTATACCGGGATGGTGCTTGGTTTTACCAAAGAAATTTTATCGCATAATCACTGCATTAAGTGCTTCTTGCTTAGAAAGGCCTCTGCCCTTCGTAGGACTGCCTTGACTTCAAACATTTATGATTTTGTTTACAATTTTCGGCTTCGAGGTTCTCAAGAATCACATGGTCACTGCATACAGTTCGTTGGATCTCTGCAAAATTTTTCCACTTGCAACCATTGTGAAAGGTTATCTTGGGAAGGTTCCTCTCGCGAAATTCTGTTGAGGAAGCTTGAAAGTTCTTTGAAGAGTCATCAAGTTCAAGAGGCATGGGAATACTTTCATGATTTTAAAAGCCTTTATGGCTTTCCTGTGGGTTGTCTAGTGAATCAGCTGGTCGTTCAATTATCTTACACATCTAATCATGTCTGGTTACGAAAAGCATGTGATCTAGCCTTGCAAATTGTCAAAGAGAAGTCAAACTTACTTCAGGCTGATACCTTAACTAAACTTGCTCTCTCTCTAGCAAGGCTGCAAATGCCAGTCCCTGCCTCGATGATTCTCAGGCTAATGCTAGAGACAGAGTGTGTTCCTCCTATGAATTTATTGTCGTTGATTTTTTTGCATATGGTAAAGACAGAAATTGGGTCACACATCGCATCCAATTACCTGGTTCAAATTTCTGATTGTTTTAGTTCCTTAAATGACAAAAGCGCTCATGAGGCAGTGCTGGTCAAGCCAAATACAATGATCTTTAACCTTGTGCTTGATGCTTGCGTGAGATTCAAATTATCACTGAAAGGTCAATGCGTCATGGATTTAATGCCAATGACAGGCACAGTGGCCGATGCACACTCCATTGTCTTTATTTCACAGATACTAGAGATGAATAGTTTGAGAGATGAAATGATGGAATTAAGGGGCCATATTGATGGAGTATCAACTCCTTACCTTCCTTATTATCGTCAGTTCTATGATAGTTTGTTGAGCTTGCACTTCAAATTTAATGACATCAATGCTGCTGCTGAGCTTGTTTTGGGTATGAATAAACAACATCAAAGTCATATCAATAGAAAGGACAGGAAACAAAAGCCTTTCCTTGTTGCACTCGGATCTCATCACCTCAAGCATGGATTGAAGATACAGTTTGATCCTGAGCTGCTCCAGAAGGACTCTGTCCTTAAAGTTGAAGGCCGACAACATCTTATTCTTTATAGGGATGGAAAACTTGTCCTCAGTAACAGGGCTCTTGCCAAGTTCATCAGTCGGTACAAGAAAGACGGGAAGATTAGTGAACTGTCAAAGCTTCTGCTGAGCATTCAAGAGGATTTATGTTCATTAGCAGGATCCAGTTTATGTTCTGATGTGATTGGTGCTTGCATTCAGTTTGGCTGGCTTGAATCTGCTCATGATATTTTGGATGACATGGAAGCCTATGGGTCTAGAATGGGCTTAGAAACATATATTTCTCTACTGTCAGCATATTACAAAAGAAAAATGCATAGAGAAGCAGATGTTCTGATAAAACAAATGAAAAGGGCAGGTTTGGATGAAAATTTATCTGATGACACTATTAACAGACTTGTTCTCAACGCAGAAACATCATATTCACTTGGTTTATCTGATTTAGCAGTCACTTTGGGTCAAGTATTGAAAGATGAAGAGGAGACAATTTCCCCTGCAATTTATGAGCTTAATTCTTGTATCTACTTTTTTAGCAAGGCAAGAATGATAGAAGATATGTTGAAGGCATATAGAAGACTAAAAGAAAAAAATATTCAATCCGCAGTCCAAAGTTTTGCTTATATGTTGTTTGGATATTCGTCTCTGGGTATGTACCGTGAAATCACAATTTTATGGGGAGACATCAAGAGATTCATGAGTAATGGCAGTTTAAAGCCAAATAGAGATCTGTATGAGTTACTATTGCTAAATTTTCTTCAAGGTGGTTATTTTGAGAGAGTGATGGAGGTCATTGGACATATGAGAGACCAAAACATATATACTGATAAGTGGATGTACAAAAGCAAGTTCCTAAGACTTCATAGGAACCTTTATAGGAGTTTAAAAGCGTCAGATGCTAAAACAGAGGCACAGAGCAAAAGGTTTGAGTATGTTCAGGCTTTTAGGAAGTGGGTGGGAATTGATTAAACATCTCTGAGTAATATTTATGTATTGATGCATCCAACATAATTTCCAGCAAATCGTTGGTGTCTTAGCATGGTCGATGTTATTTGCTGAGTCATATTTGTGATCTATCAGTTTTACTTCTGCCTCAACTTCAGTTTTTGGAGAACAGGAGTGAAGTATATAAGAATATCTCAATGCAACTTCAAATGTATTTGGATGACTTTCAGATTCTGGTAAATAGTGGAACCCGCTCATTTATGTCAGGCTATTCTTGGACAAGTGGGCTTAAAAATTTTTTAACTAGTTTTCTTATTCTTTCTTCTTACATTTTGCTTCTTGTTAAACACTTTCAACTGTTTTTTCCCCCTTAAGTCAAGCTCATTAAAATCTCTCCTTTCCTTCTCCTCCAACCAGAGGGGGTTAAGAATTATTATAGCGCGCTTGGTAATTTTGAATTAAAAAAACGATTGGGTTGTACTTTTAAATCGCCAATTCATCGATATTTACACGCTTCTTCTTCAGTTTTATTTCTCCATTTCTACTCCTCTCATCTTGACTAGGCACTGATCCAGTCTGATTTTTATAACCTCGATCTTTCTATAAAATTTCTCATCTTTCTATTCCCTTCTATCATCTATGACTGGCTAATCTAAAGAAAATGACAAATCAATATTCAGCAGCTCTTTGTTTAGCCTGAGTACCATTCCTTCTCATAAACCACGGAAACACATAGATTACCGCATACTGTGCTCTTTATTGGCTATATGTAGACTCCGGCTGTATTAATAATGATATAATATTAAGAAAAAAATTTAGGTTAAGTTTTTTTTTTTTGGGTTGAAATAGTTTTGGTTAAGTTTTATAATAATATATAGTTATGTATTTTTTTTTGTTTTATATGCTAATACTTAAAAAATCAGGACACATATTGAAAATTTTGATATAATAAATATAAGAAACTTGATGTAAGTTTTATCCTAATATTAATACCCCAACCATGAATGTTGAAAAAATAGATTATTTTTTAAGGTAGACACTAACAAGGATTCAAATCCAATCATGTCTTTTGTTAATTTTTTTAAAAATAAGCACATGTATTTTTTATAATCTTATTTGAGACATGGCTAGACATACAAGCAACTTTCTCTTTTGCTAGGAATTCACCTTTTCTAGTTTCTACATGATTCTTTGTTAGTTGACACTCTTCGTTAATTTTCGTCCAAAGGTATTTTCCAGTCTTTTTAATTCTTAATCCTCATTTACTACCCCATCAGAAAGAGATGTCATTATACTGTAGATGTGGGAATCAGGGCCGGCCCTTCAGGGCTGACAAGTTTAAAAGGGCCGGCCCTCCAGAGCTAAAATTTTAAAAATATCTCAATTTGCTAGGCCCCGCCCTTAAACTACAGGGCTCAGGGCCGGCCCGCGGACTTTTAGCCCGTTTAAGAAAAAAAAATATTTTTATATTTATCATATTTTTTTATAAAACAATAAAAATAAACCAATTAAATTATTAAAAAAGACATGAATATGAATAAAATTAAGTCACAAATATAAAATATCATCATATATAAATATCCATCAACATTCAAGCACATCTAAAACACTCATTAACAAGATAACAACATCCAAAAGTTTTATCTATGGTGCAATTGTACAATAAATAAATACTATCATTAATCTTTTGAAATTTCATCATCACTATAATTAATTACTCTTCTTCATAAGTATGCTTTTCTTTCGTAACAAAAATATCAAGTTTTTCTTCTTTATAGGAATTTTACTTTTAAATTTTACAATCTAGCTATTATTTTACTTTAATGTGAAAAACATTGTTGTTGAAACTCATAAATTTCTAATTCAAATTATAGAATCACAAGTTATATAAGTATAAAAATACTGTATTATCAAATATATATATAGTTTAAAAATATCAACACATATAATATAAATCAAATCATTATCAAAGTCCAAATTAACCCATTTTTTAAAAATTTAATTGGATAAATTATTGTCTAACACTAAATTTAAATTTAAAATGATAATAATAACTAAATATTTAAAATATTATTAATAATATAAAGAATAAATAACATTAGAATTATATAAAAAAATTTAAAAAACAAAAAAAATTATAAAAGGGCTTAAAAAGGCCAGCTCCCTTTTAAGCCCTCGGCCCTCTAGGGCTTATTTTTCATTTAAAGAGAAAAATATCAAGTCTGAACCTTATAATTTCAGGACGTAAACGGATCGGCCAGACGGGTTCGGTCTGTTTTTCCGGCTTTACATTATAGGCAGGCGACAAGCCCATTCCCAGCCTGTAACATCAGGTTGAGGGGAGAGAAAAAAAAGGCAGTGAGGCACGAAAAGGGGAAAACAAAAAAAACATGAGAGAGAAAGGAAAGCAGACACAGGCAATAAACGGTGTGGTTCACATGGCATCGAGGACCCAGAATGAATTGACGCTTGGGGTTCGATTCGATCTCGCTTCTCCTCCGCCCAAAAAAAAAAAAAAAGGAATCGAACTTGCTTGGGCGACTATAAAACACAAAGCTCTAGGCGCACGCCAAAATAGACGAGGATCATCGGAATGGATTTCTCAGAGCAGGACCTAGATTTATTCGGCGAACATTACGATCAGGACCCCGACAAAGATGCCCATGACGACCAAGATGGAACTCACTCCTCTTCCCCAGCTTCATCCTCCTCCGCTTCTTCTTCCTCATCCTCTTCATCATCTGCTTCTTCATCCAACGCCAGTGATGGCGATGATTCCTCCAGTGGTAGCGGAAGCGCCACCAGCGCTGCCGATGAAGACGAAGAGAATGGCGAGGAGGTTGAGCACAACAGTAGGGCCTATTATGACCCTGAGGAAAAAGACCTGTTTGGTTCTGATAATGAAGATTATTGTAAAACTCCCGCTCAAAGTCCTTACTCGATTCCTGGTAATTCCCTAACTGCATATTGCGTTGAGTTTACGGGGTTCTAGCTTGACCCGTTGTACTACGTATTCGCCAAATTTTATGACACTTCACTCACTTTGACTGCCGCCTCATATCTTTTTGCCACGAACCGGCTGTGCAGCTTCCAGTAAATTTTGTGCGTATGCTTACGGTTTATGTCTTTTCCTGTATGAAGCTGTGGGAAGTTTAAAAATCTTCTTACTCAATTGGATAGTTTCTCATTTCTTATGTCAAGGAAATGATAACGCACTTGAACTTCTGAAGCAGCTGAAAATGCCACTGAACTTAAAGTGCATAACTTTGTCGATTTTCTTTCTCAGTTTGATTTATAGCGAGATGTGAGTTTCTCTTGCAGTATTGCCTGCCGTCCGCAATACAAATAATCAGGGTAGGGGGGGTTTTGGCCGTGGTCGTTGGCAAAATGATAGAGGAGCAGGCCTTCTTCCTCGTCCTGGACCTTATCCTCAGAGGCAAAATTTTGGTTATGGAAACAGGTTTTCAAATGGCCGCCATGATGAAAGATTTGTCGCTGAGCTGAAGCTTTCCAAGAGTGAAGAGACTTTGTCAAGAAAGTGTATTGCTATTCAGGAGGTAGGGACATTCCATTTTCTTTGCTTTATTTGCCGATGTACCAAGCATTTTAGGGGTAAGAGTGCTAAAGAAATTGTTTTGAAGCTGGAATTTTATCTCTTGCACTGGATGTTTGGGATCATTTCATCCCGAATTTAAGTTATTGGTACTGTATATTGTATCTTGCTTGTATGTGAAACAAATGATCACGTGGAGCTTTAACAATTTAAATGGCGGTAATTTGATTAGTGTTTCCCCGTCACACATTTGTAATTCTGGATATATTTTTATTTTTGGTGGACTGCACTTATGTATGGGTGCAAGGTAACTTGTCAGCATAAGTGTTCTGACCATGTGTTTTCTTTTTTTATCTGGCAGCCGTGTGAAATTGCCTGCTATAGTCGCATAGAAGGTGGAGAGGTCTACTTTGATGATCGCAACTTGGTAAGCTACATAGAGCTCATCTCATTTGATTTTCTCTATATTCATTTATTCTTTCATGTGTGTGATAACCTGGCTGATATCTTGCATACTAAGTGTTTTCTATTTCATTTATTTAGAGGCTTTTTAAGCGCCTTATCACTGAAGATATTGGAGCTGATTTGAACGAGGGTTATGATACATTTATTGCTAAAAAAGGTACATCTTTATAACTTTCAACTATTGCTTTATAACTGTAGAAGTTTTATTTTATACTGGTATATGGGAGATATGCATATCAGAACTGATGTTACTCTTTTTCTTTTCTTGTTAATCCTTAATGCAGACTTAGGCTCAGAGGGCTTTGGTGACCTTCTTGCTTGCATTAGAGACAAAAATATTCCCCTCCAAAACATTCATTTTGTGGTATAAAGAGCATAATGATTTAAGTTTTTGAAAACTAATAATGCTTTTACAATGTAAGTTCTGAAGCTTCTTACCTTAGCCTTCTCTTTTATCTTTTGCAGACATTTCGTAACAATCTTAACAAGGTAATGGAGTCAGAATCTCTTCATATGAGAATATATGCGTCATTCCTGTGAAGTAGCTATTACATTTGGGCTGTCAAATTTGTCTATTCTAATACTTTTTCAATGACTTCTTTTGCAGATAATGGCCACTGCTTATATCCGACATGAGCCTTGGGAAATGGGGGTGCATAAACGGAATGGAGTTGTTTATCTTGATGTGCATAAACTACCAGAAAGACCAAAGAGTGATTTGGATTGCCGGAGGTACTATACTTGCATATCCTATTATTATTTTGGTCTTTTGGATACCAAGAGAAGTCAAGAGAGCTGTAGTGGAACGAGCAGCAAAACCAATGGATTGAACCCAAAGGGAGAAAAGAAGTACTAGGAGATGGGGGGTTGAAATTTCTGAAGTATTTGCAATGCTGACCTAACTATTCTTCCCCTAAGAGAGAAACAAAAAGCAAGGGGGTGGGGTACGGGCTGGGAAGAAGGAGAAAGATCTTGCTGAGGACAAATATTGAGATTGAACTAGTTTGAAATACGTGCATCAATTGGATGATATTCATCCCTTCAGTAATGTTTGGATACCAATGCCCTTCTGCCTTGTTTCTTGTTGAGGCCTACATATAAACTTTTGGTAGACAGATGAAAGTATTGATATTATATCCATTAAATTGTAGCTAAGTGATATGTGATTTATAAAGTAAAGGGGCAAAAAAGTGAAGTTTTGCTTATACAGCTTAGTTGGGAGATAAATGGCCTACTAGTAATTGATTGTCCTCATTGCTTTAATATCCTTTCTAAAATTTTGATC